TACGTTATTTCTCGAGAACGAAAAGCAACCCAGCGAAAAAAACTTCAGAGCAATGTTTCTCAGGTGAAACGAAGCCCACATGCCAAAATTCAGCTAGTTTTAAGCACTTTCATAAATGGCCGAAAAATCTAGGGGACGTTCTTGCACGCGGCCTTTCAATTAACTTGTTCCTATCCTTTGACAGGAAAACCATTGTCTACGTATCAAGATCTTGGGTGATTGCTACTATTGTGTGTCAGGTTTACCAGATCCACGACCTGATCATGCTCACTGTTGTATTGAGATGGGCCTAGAAATGATTGATGCTATTGCGTAAGTAAAGTCTATTGTTTTGCATGATTATCTAAAGTGTATTGTCAGATTTGTAACCTGATCCATTCTCTTTGTAGCTTACAAATAATTGTGACCTTACACAGGAAAACGTGCATTATCCCCTATCCGTTTAACAGGCTGAAATAAACGGATGATAAACGGATAATAAACGGATAGTAAATGCCTTTAAGAGCATTAAAACATTTCCTAGAAACGTTTTAACGGTTACTGAATATTGGCAAATGGCTCTGCAAAGTGTTCGAATGGTTAACAAAAATTTGCGAATGGATGACTTGAAGTGTTAAAATGGCTGGCAAGAATTTTCCAACGGATAAGGATAACTTCAAGCGTTAAAATGGCTAGCAAACATTTTGGAACAGATGACTTGAAGCATTTAAACGGTTAGCTCATGTGTTCAAATGGATGACCTCAAGCATTTGAGTGGTTGGCAGTGAAGTAGAAAAGTATGGCCATGGAAGGGAAAATCCCAGACACACCATTGTTATTGCTTACAAACAACTGAACAAACTTTCCACAAAACAAACTGTAGCTGAAAATAGCTGTTTCACCATCAAACCATGCCCAACTTACACTGTGACATGCCCAACCAATTATTTACAGCTAAATGTATGATTGGACAAATTCTTGGGCAAATTTTCTGTAATTTTCTGTAATTTTGGTAAACAATCATTATGATAATAGATAATAACTTTAAAGGTACTAAAAAACATCCAACCACACTTCTACTGTGTCTGGCCAGAATGGTGACTCTATCCCACATGCCTCTTCAAAATATTGATCAATCCATCCAACACACAGTTTGATACATAGTATGCTCATTTTTTCCCATAGATCAGCCAGTGGAAATTGATATATATTTGATCTGACTGTATTATTCTAGTCAATGATGAAGTAACTGCCAATGGATGCTCTTTACAGTACATTTGTTTCATGTTTACCTGTCTCAACTTTGTTCTGATGACGAGGTTGATGTTTCAGTGTCACTGATGTCATGATCATTGTCGCTCTCATTGTCAATGACTACAGTGTTGTCAATTATTTTGTAAGATGTATTGGCAGAAAATGAATTTGCAGTCTCCACACCAGTGTCTGACCTGCAACACATGATAAAGACACAATTACATGTATCATTATACATTGAACTCACTATCTCTTTTCTGATTGGCCGAAACTGTACAGTGAATTTTCAAAATCAATGCCTGTGATGTCATCTAGCTGCAGATTATACAATAATCATGTCAAGGACACTCAAGGTCACGGGTAGTCACGTCATCTATGACCTCGATGTATGATTTCTAAGGGTAATCATGTCAAGTTCGCACGCTTTGTGTTGCTTGCCGTCATTGATGAAGCAAATGCAAGACTTCCTTTTTTTTTACGTTCAAAGTATAATAAAACAAAGTGAAAGTGAAGAATGATCATCGCAGTGAATTTTATAATTTAAGCAATTGAAAAGAAGAAGACTGAAAAATTGGG